AAAACACGTGAAATTTGTGCCAATAAGTAAGATGCTACTAGGTCATATTTGTGCCAATATTTTGTTTCTTTTAACCTTCCAAGAAATTTTCATATAATATTTTACAAGTTGGTTGTAATGACTGAGAAAATTCCAGACTTTAAATAATACAATTTATTTATTTAAGCCAAGGATTTTCCTAGAAAATATTATGTGACTGAAGGATTTATGGAATCAATAGATGTATTCCTAAATTCTGTAGCAGATTTCATGTTAAGTTCATGTTTTCGATCAAGTAAATTCGATCGATAAATTCTTGCCGTACTTTAAGGCGGAATAATTTTCAGTACAAGTATAGTTTGAGAATCTTAATTTCAAGAATCTCCAAACACAGCATGATGTTAGCAGTGTAAAAAAAAAAACGCACTGACATTTTTAAAAAAAAGAGAAAATCCTTAATTGCCAGACAGCTAGGTTAAAGTCAGAAGATAAATACCCATAGTAGAAGGGTATAATGTGAACTCGGGAGTTGACACCGTCAGAAACAACGTCATTTCTGAAAATTAACGCAGGATAGTTAAATTTAGAATTTGTTCAGTCTAGAATTAATTTCAAGACTGTAAACAGTTCAAGATATTACGCGAATAAGAATTTAATGTGATATCCAAAGCAGTCAAGGATTTAACATTTAACTGTAAATAAGCAGTAGAAAAAAGGAACCGTCAGAAATGGGAACGAATTCCTGTTAGCTAAGTTACTCTCTTATAGTCAGTATAATTTTTATCAGTTTCTAAGGGAAACTTAAGAAAGTGGACAAGAGTACAATGGGGTAGGTGAGATTTTTTTCTCTCCCTTCCTCCACTTGGCCGGCCATGCATGAAAAAATAGAGCCAAACCTTTGGCTAGTGGAGTGTGCTAGAGGACTTTATGTTAAGGTGATGTGATGTTAGTGGTTGAAGGGGAATTAATGGCAAAGTTGCTTCTTCTTTTCTCCTTCCAAAACCGGCCAAGAAAGGGGGATTTGAACCAAAAATTTGGTTGAATGATGGAGTGGAATTGGTATTAAAAAAATAATTTCCAAGTTGCCTATAAAAGGAACCAACATAGGATAAGCTTCATTTTTTTTTCTCCTAGCTTTTTCCCCACTCAAAAAATCCGGCCACACACTCTCCATTTCCTCTCAAATATTTTCTCCCACTCTCCAAAACTTGAGCCCCTAGCACACCATAGAAGAAGAAGAAGGAGATTAAGGGATTCTAGGAGGAGACTAGTCAAGCATTCCTCTAAGGGTAAAGAAACTCTAAATCCTCTCTTTTTCATGTTTTGGGAAAGTTTGAAATAGAGAAATATTCTTCTCAAATTTCCTTATACTCTTATAGTTTCAAGCCATTAACAATCCTAGAGGAGTTCAAGGGTTTTTCAAGAGAAAGAGAGAATTCTTCAAGGGTAAGTTCTTAAACTCCCCTCCATTAATTTCTAGCCAACTTTAAGCTTGGATTTATGGATGTAAATTTGTGGTTCTTGAAGAGATAAGATTGTAATAAGGGTGTGTGAGTTTTATGTTGGTTTTGTGAGTTTTGAGCTTAGTTTGATGTGGTATGTTTATGCTTAATCTAAGTTGCTTATTTTCAAATTAGAGGAAAAATTTTCCGGTGACTTTGACCGCGAAAATGAGGACCATAGAGCGAGAGTTTTTAATGTTTTAAAGCTTGAACTTATAGCCCTGGATGTTTTGAACATTTTCGGTTACTATGACAAAACCTAATTTTAACTCTAAAACCAAGTTTGAAGCCATTTGGCAAAAACGGACAAGCTGTCCAACACAGTTTCAAAAAAAAAAACTGGCAACCACTGGTTCAGCCAAACGGGACCCTTAGAAGCTGAATCTCGATTTTTCACAAAAGTGACAATTTTATATTTCGACGAGATGAAGAAATTTGATGAAGAAAAGATTTTCAAAATCCGACCCTAAGAGGTACTAAAACACAGATTCCCGAAACGGCACAGTTTTTGACTAAAACAGTTTCAAGAAAAACAACAGCTACGGCTTTCAGCCAAACGGGGCCTTTAGAGGCCGAGATGAGAAGCTATACGGCTCAACTCCAACATAATTGCTCTGATATAGCTGGCTCTTTTAGGCACTTGGATATTTCCCAACAACTCCGGTCCATTTATGGTTATTGCTTCTGTGAACATAGTAGCTAAATAATCCCAACGCGTTACATAAGGCAGATATTGTATAATTGTTCGGTTTTCCGCAATTTTTTCCATTCCTCGGTGTAAATAGCCTAATATTGGTTCACAGTCAATAACATCTTCACCATCGAGAGTAACGATGAGTCGAAGAACACCATGCATTGATGGGTGGTGGGGACCCATATTTACTATCATGAGGTCTTTTCTTGGAGCTGGTATATTCATAGGTTTTTCTTTTTCCTCGATTGATTCTTTCATGAATTACTGAAAAGCGAAAATAAGTTCATTAAAATAAAAAAAAATCAAGATCTAATAAATCAAATAATTCAATAATTCAAAACGCTTCCTCAAATTCAAATTAACGCATTTTTGATTCCCGAATATCTAACTGATTAATTAATTCTTTATAACGTATTCTATTGTTCTTTGACAAATAAGACAGCATCCTTTGGCGTTTTCCCAAAATTTTACGGAGGCCTCTCTGAGATAAATAGTCTTTTCTGTGCAATTCCAAATGTGAAGAAAGTTTTCGTATCCTATTAGTGAGGCTTAGTATTTGAAATGTAACAGACCCCCTGTTTTTTTCTTTTTCTTCGTGTGAAATAACCGAGATGAATGACTTTTTTATCATAAAATGAAATCTTCCCCCCCACCGGCCCTTATTGCTTTGCTAGATTTTTTTATTGATCAATAATAATAATGTTATTCATTTTTTTTTTTTTATTTGGCATACACAATACAATAATCTTAATTTTGTGAATAATCTTAATTTTGTGAATAATTTCCAATTTGAAAATTGTATTCGAATAGGTAAACAAAAAGATAGTTGTCTGCACTCACAAAAGATAAAAAATTATATCTAAAATTTAAAAATAAACTAAGAAGATTTTTGCATTATTTCTAGATATTGATATGTCATTAAATTAGTATCGTGTATCATAATGGAATAGAAAACAATATAGGTGTGCATCTATTTGTCTTCATATATGCAATATAGTACGGGAAATAAAATCAATCCGTATTTCACTTTTTTTCAGTACACGCTTAAGTTCATTTTTAAATTGCGGATACATATGTATCCTTACCATACTGAAACGACTGCCATTATTGGTATCAAACCAATAGCGATTCATACAAGCGAAATCTTCTAATCGATAATTAGGCCAAAGAAAGAACTTTAATCTAATTATATTATTTTGATTTATTTTGCTTTTATTCAAAACCGGACTCTTTACCTTATTTTCATTACAAAAAAATGCATTGCTAGGTATACCATTTCTATTCCTAGAATTGAAACAAATTAGAATTCTCAATTCTCTACGATGTCTAGGGGATAAAATAGTTTCAGGAACAAACAAATCATAATGATTTTTGTCTCGATTTTCAGTCATCTTTTGATGTTTTGAAATGAATTCATCAAAATTCTTCGTATCAACATGGCCCTTTTCTCGATACCTTTGATTAATTGTGTGTTTACTTTTATGAACCAACGAAATACCTATAGTTTGATACATAATAAATTGTCCTTCATTTTTTCTAGACAGACGAACTGGTTCAATAAGTAATATTCCCTTTTTAATCAATTCTGTAAGAATGAAATTTTTCTGAATCATTAGAAGATCCAGATTTATTTCTCCCCTTTGAATAGAGGCTATAGTAATTTCTCTTAGGTTTATCGGTCTAAGCAGGGAACAATATACTTTGATGTTATCGATCATTTTTTTATTTAAAGAATCGTCCCATCTCAATTGAAAAAGCAAATACCTTTTTAGTAAGAAATCAAACTCCGCTTCCATGTTGGTCCTGGATTGTTTTTTATTTTTTTTCATCTTTGATACCGCATAATTTTCTTCAATATCTTTTTCTTGATTTGAGAGAGTTGATTCAAAATCTGTTTTGATTCCGCATTCTTTTTCTACTTGATTTTGTTTTTCTAATTCAAGATATTTTTTTTCATTTGAAAATATTGATATATGGCGGCCTCATAGGAGGGTCGTCACATTGGTCTTGATGGTGACTCGAATACCGACCACCGCATTGAAAAAACGTGCGAGTGGAAATGTATAATTTATCCACATCATCATGTATACATTATAGGACCGTTTAGTTCGCTAATTTGACTTTTTAATTCGAATTGAAATGTGACTTTATGTGAGTTTTTTACTGTAGTAAAAAAGATAGATATGACTGTTTCTGAGAGCTTTTTACTATAGAAAAACTTGAATTTTAAACTCGAATCGGTGAAATGAATGAGTATATATGTTGTTGTATACCAATAGAACAGCGCCAGCAATCCGACTCTCCACATCAGCATTGGATGAAATTACATTAGAGGAGGCTGCTTCTTGTGTGACTGTGAGAGAATGGACAAAACATAAAGAAACAGAATTGGGATTAAACAAATTCTCAGCTAAACAACAGGCAATTTTCTTAAATAAAAAAAAGATTAAACTTTATAATGCGGGTGTGTGAAAACCCCACCATAATTTCTTAAATAATAAACCCTCCACTATATTTCTTAGGAAAGTGATGCACAAAATAAAAATATATATGTCGTTATTAAGAAAGTGATCGCAAATAACCACCCACACAATTTTCCTAAAATCTTGTTGATCAAGCTTTTATTTTTTTTAAATAAACTCGTTGGTCAAGCTTAGCAGCCTGATGTTCACGCTAAGGAAGCGAAAAGCTTCACACTAACTAGGATCAATCCAAGTGGCAGCCATCTAATGCATGTGTGCTATATCTCTATGTATAAATATATATGGCCTACTTCCATTGGATACAGCACGGTAAACAAAAAAGAAAAAAGAAAAAAAAAAGAAAGTGAAGAGTAGTGTGAGAAAGTGTGGTGTTTGAATATGGCAGAAGAGTTGAAGGTTGAGATCATTGAAAGAGACATCATAAAACCATCTTCTCCAACTCCATCTCACCTTAAAATCATCAACCTATCTTGTCTCGATCGGATTATACCTGGAGTTTACACCTCTTTGGTTCTTTTCTACCCCAACAACAACAGCATTCTCACGTCCGACCAAATATATAACCACCTGAAGAAATCTCTGTCTGAAGCCTTAACTCTTTTCTATCCTCTTGCCGGGAAAATCAAGGACAACACCGTCATCGAATGCCACGACGACGGAGCTACGTTTGTGGAAGCGAAATTCAATGGACTCCTCTCGACCTTTCTAGATCAAGAACAAAAAGACGAGGCACTCATAGGGCGGTTCCTTCCAGCCGCGATGGAATCCCCGGAAGCAGACACATGGCCCTTATTGCTTGTTCAAGCCACCCTCTTTGACTGCGGCGGAGTGGCAATAGGCGTCTGTATGTCGCACAAGGTTGGCGATGCAACCACGTTGAGCATATTCTTGAAGACCTGGGCTGGTACTGGGATTCCAGATTTTGAAGCGGCTTCTTACTACCGTTCTGGCGATACCTTCTCGTACTCGCCTCCTGGCTCGTCGGTGTTCAAAAGGGGGGAGGACGGCGTGGTGAAGAGATGCTTGTTTGATAAATCAACGATTGCGGCTCTTAAGGCCAAATTTGCAAGTGACAGCGTCAAGCAACCGACTAGGGCTGAAGTAGTCACCGCCCTCATTTTGAGATGCCTAGTGGAAGCTAATTCACGATCAACCTCGGCAACTCCGGTGAAGCCACGGTACTCTCTCATGACGCAAGCCGTGAACCTGCGGAAAAGACTTGAACCACCGTTACCAGATAACACTGTTGGAAACTTCGTGGGGTTATCTGCATTGCAGGTAGAGAATGACATTTATAACGAGACTAGTATTGAGACATTGGAGTGTCAACTGCAGGATATGGTGACTAAACTAAGGCAAGGACTCAAAGACTTCACCGAAAAAAAAGCGAAGAGGTTCCGAGGGGACGAGGCCGACGGACTCCAAGCTGTTGTTGAGTCGTATGGAGAAGTGGTATTATTTACAAGAGATGGTGCGGAGTGGATTGCGTTTAGCAGTTGGTGCAACTTTGGATTCTACGAGGTTGACTTGGGTTTGGGAAAACCAAGTTGTGTGACGATCCCGAGTTGCACCTACGAGAACTTGATTTATATGATGGACACTAGAGATGGTGATGGAGTGGAGATAGTCTTGACTTTGAGTAAAGAAAATGTTGCCTTATTTGATAATCGATTACAAGAGATTCTCTCATTGGCTTCTTTAAATTAATTTCTAACTCTTTGGAAATCATCCATGGGGAACACAAGTACTCTAAAGGTTGTATTCTGTTTTTTTTCTTTTTTAATCATTGTTATTTGCTGAGTCATTTTGATCCGGCTGTCATGTTGGTCTCATTTTGGTCATTTATGTTATCTTGTTACTTGCAATTGTTATTTCATTTATAGGATGCTTCAAAAAAATATAAAAGTGCTCTCCTTTCTTCTTCGCATCATAATTAATGTTGTTTCAACTAAAATGGCTTATTATTACATAAAAATTTAAATTATGTGGGACAAAAAATATTTAGGCAATAACAAAAAGTGCAAAAATGCGTTTGTATAGTCGGTCTCAGACCCGGGTAAAGGAGAAGGGTTGCGGTAGGTTGACAGCTAGCGTAGAAATAAGTCACTCTTATGAATTTCACTCACATAGAATCTATTGGGGAGTTCTATATGTGCTACACGCTATGTCGGGCCCCAGGTATAGTGTTAAATAGGCAAGGGGGGTCTTCGCACATTCATGGACGTGTGCGGGGAGAAAAGTGAGCCTATGCGCAATGTCGGGCCCCGTATATGGTGAAAAATATGCAAGGGGGTCCTTGCACATTCATGGACGTGTGCAAGGCGCAGAGCTAGCCCATGATAGGAAAATTTGTTTAGGTAGTTGGAATGTAAGTTCTTTAACTGATATATCTATGGAGTTAGTAGATGTTATGGTAAGAAGAAGAATTAATATTTTATGCTTACAGGAAACGAAGTGGACAGGATAGAAAGCAAAGGAGATTGGAAATTTAGGACACAAGTTATGGTATACAAGTTGGGAAAGAAATCCCAATGGAATTGGTATTCTAGTGGACAAAACTGTGAAGGATGACGTAGTTGAGATTAAGCGAATAGGGGATAGAATTATTATGCTCAAATTGGTATTAGAAAATAAGTTCATCTATGTAATTAGTGCTTACACTCAACAAATAAGATTGGATGCGGAAACTAAAGTCAAGTTCTGGGAAGACATGGATGACTTAGTGTGTCGTATGGGCAATGAGGATAGCATTTTCATTGGAGGAGATTTCAATGGGCATGTTGGTAAGGATAGCGAAAACTTCAAAAGGATCCGCGGTGGTTTTGGTTTTGGAGCTCGAAATGAAGAAGGAAAATCTATTTTAGAATTTGCGTTGGGACATGATTTTATCATAACAAACACATTTTTCAAGAAAAGAGATTCTCTATCACTTTTAAGAATGGGAGGAACTTGAGCCAGATAGATTATTTTCTCATAAGGTATAGAGAACGTTCTCTATGTAAGGATTGTAAAGTAATTCCTGGAGAAGTACTAGCCACCCAACATAGGTTAGTGATCTTAGATGTGAGCATTAAGCTTTGCTATAGAAGAATTAAGATAAACCACCTCCCACAAACTCGTTGGTGGCATTTGAAGGGAATAAAGTAATTGGCCTTTAAAGAGAAGTTGTTAGATGAGGCTACTTGGTCATATATAGGTGATG